GCACTGCACACCCAAAGGAGAAGGGAACCCCCTCACCCAGCACTCATATGCCCGGGGGAGCCCCACTTACCCATGCTGATGACAGCAATCTCCCCTGAGGAGGAGTTGTGAGGCCCCACAAAGACACCGGACACCAGCAGCAGGGAGTCATCCGAGTTGAACTGGGAGAACTGGGTGTAGCTCCAGTTGTATGGCCTCATGTTGGAGCTGTGCTGCAGGGAGATGTCCAGATCATTGCTCCAGATCTACAGAGAGATGGGACAGTCAGGAAGCTGCTGAGAAGGCTGACAGTGGTTCTCCTTTATCTGTTCTGCCAGTACTCACCAGGACATGAAAAACAAACAGTATCAAAAACCCCATTTAACTACCTTCTGCTCACCACACCCCTGTCCATTCCCCTGACAGAAAACGGAGAGGAGCCAAATGGAGAACTGCTGCTCCACTGGCCAGAGGAGGTGTTCAGGCAGTGAATGGTGCTATCACAGCTGGATTTCCAGAATGTTCAGACAGATTCCTCCCAGGACAACCACTCAGGGAGGACATGATCCACTGCAGTGGATCATTATCTCCCCAGTCTTCATCAGACCCAGGGCACAACAGGACACTGATCTGCACCTAGAAAGCAAAGCACCTCAGCCACCTCCACACAGGCTGGAGCTCCATACAGCCCTCAAGGCTACACTTGCAAGAGTCATTAGTTCTATGGCTTAGAAGACAGCTCAGCACCCACAGGAAGCAGCCCAAGTCCAGGGACATCTGGTCAAACCTCTGCACAGACTTCCCAAAGGCTGCTCAGGGCCAAGCCCCACTGGACCAAGGCTGCAAGAGCCAGACAGGGCACCTACCACTTTACCTTGACCGTGCAATCTTTGGAGCATGATGCAAACAGGCAGCCAGAGTGGGAGAAGCTCAGGTGCAAAACTTGGTCATTGTGCTCCTTCAGGGCCTGCACCTCCACGCAGGGGATGGTGTCGTAGAGCCTCTGGAACTCCTCGTACCACGACACAGCACCTGCAGCACAGCAGGGACACGGGGCATGAGTGTGAGGGGAGGGAAGCAGAGCTGGGCCAGACATGGCACCAGGCTCTGATAAACCAATCCTGGCTCCTGTGAGCAAGGCCAGGAGCTCTGCTGGGGCACCAGCCCAGGGCTGCAGCTCAGCTACCAGCCCTCAGCATTTCCTCAGCAGCTTCCCTACTCCCATACACACAAACCCCTTTCTTGCAGCACACACACAGCTCCACAGCACACTCCTGCTCTCCAGACCAGCACTGAACCAGGCACAGGTGCTGCCTTCAGACCAAAACAGTCCTGAGAAGGAACATGTGTGCCAGCACAACCAAACCACCCAGGTGGGACCGGAGAGAAGCTGCTCCTCACCATACCCAGCTCTGCACTGGTTACCTCTGTCTTGTCTCACACAGAATTAATACGGCTCCAGAAAGGGTCTGGGACCAGGAAAAAAGCATCTCCATGAGGAAAGAGACTTGAAAAAATGAAAGACAAGAACAGAAGCTGAGCACAGCGTGCTGAGCACAGCCTGGGGCACACTCATGGGAGTCTTACTGACGGACAATAAAAACCAAATAAAGAAAATTTTTAACGAAGGGCCTGGCCAGGCAGCCTACAGACTTCTTGCAGCAGCAAATCCCAGAGAAGCAAAGAGGATTAGACATGTATATGGATAAGGGCCAACTTTCCTAGTGACACTGAACAGGACTGAAGGATTTTTTGGAACAGGCTGCAGTCCAGGAGGCAACTGCTCCTGCAGGCAGGGACCAGCTTGCTGCCAGCACATCCCACTGCTGCTCAAGGCTTCAGCCCCCTCTGGACCTCCTGGTCCTAGCCCATCCAGCTGGGAAAAGCCTGGGCAGGCCCCGTTTGGCCAAGCAAACCCAACATTTCATCTTACAGACCCACTGAATACCATTCCTCTAACCATGGGGCCGCCCAGGGCAGCCCCCACACTCGAGCTCCAGCCCCTGCCCACGGCTGCCAGCTGCCCCTGCCCTGCTGCCCTGTGCAGGGTGCCCACAGCTCCCTGCCAGGGAGGGGCCTCAACACCTTACTGAGCTACAACAACTGCCTGATCCTAATTAGTGCTCACGAACAGGGCTGGCAGCTGACTAAGCAGCTCTAGGGGGCTGGGAGGGAATGAGCCTGGTCAAGAGGCTTCAGAAAAACCCTAAAGAGAACATCCTCAGCCCCAGGGAGCTCCCAGGGTCTGCAAGAGCAGTCACAGAGCCTGGAGGAATCCCATCAACATCCACCTCCCCTGGGAGCCCTTCTGCAGAGGTGCTCCTGCTGCAAGGAGATCAGCTCCCACTGCCTGATCCTTGGCATTTCCTCCTGCCCTTCTGTAGCCACTGCAATTCCCAATCCAGGATCCAACTCCCTCAGCACAGCCCCACAACACACCGGGCATGGGCTGCTCGGGGAGAACCCCCCTGGGCAGCACGGGGGCTCTGGCAGCTCCCAGCTGCTGTGACAGAGCTGTCACACTGCCCCAAACTGCTGTCAGCACGTGTGCTCAGCAGGGAGCACAGCTGTGACCACAGCACTGCCACCCCCGAGCCTTCTGACACAGGGACAGCCTTGCCAGGCTCTGCCAGCTCCTGCTGGGAGCCCACATCAAGTCCAACCTGCCCTGGTGATGCAGGGCAGCTGCTGACTCAGCACCTGTCCCCAGTGCTGTCCCAGGGCCACTCATCCCCCAGTCAGCACGGGTGTCCCTGCAGAGCCCAGCCTCAGCCAAAGGTGCTGGTGGCAGGGCCTGTTCCCGCTGCAGAAGGGGCACAACTGCAGCACAGGGGCTCCAAGTGCCAGAAAGGAGGGATCCAAGGCAGGAGTGACTGCACAGATGCCATGGAGGCTGGGATGCAGCAGCCCGTGGAGACTCACTGCAGCTCCCGGGATCTCCCTGGATAGCAGCTACAGACAGCACCTGCCCAGGGAGCTCAGGAAACCTTTCTGTGAGAAGAGGGGAAAGGCAAAGCATTTTCAGCATTTGGACCCCCATTTCTGCAGGGTCCGGGCAGACCCAGAGCCCTTCCCGTGCCCATCTCAGCCCGGGGCACCGGGACACAGCCGAGGCACCGC